CCCATTACCTATGAAATTCAGAGAGAAAGTTTTTAAAAATAATATCAGTATTAATTTTATACAGATATACATTAAACAAATTCACCTAATCTTAGCAGAAAATACTCTTCATTTCTTGGTAAGTTTTTCAGCAGTTAAATACGGAAAAATTGAAGGGATAAGAAACAGAAAAAGAGAAAACAGAAGGGACAAAACAAAGATTTTTTTACTTTAAATTAATACTTTTAATCAGATTAACTGCATAATATTCTACCCAATAAATTGGAAAAAAAAAATTTTTACGAGTTATTCTATGTATACCAAATATATGAATGATAAATGATAAAAGATCAAATACAACCCAACACCGCAACTAAAAAAACTGCCGAGCGCCGTTTCCCGTGTCACGGTAAAATCTAAATAATCAACCACCAATCACTTTGTTTAATTTAAAATCCACACACGAGATTATATATATACCCTCTGCTTATCACACGTTGTACACCCTCATCTCTTACCCTGGCGCTTTAATTGTTTCCCTAATCGTAACGAAACAGGCAAAGAGTCCCCCCTTCTCTCCTTTTCCCTTTCGATTTTCCATTTTGCTCTCGAGTTTTATGAAAATTCACACGCGAATACGTAGGTACGCTCTGTTGTACTCGACACGTGAATCTTAAGCAACATTGCAATCAAGCTATCCAGTGGGTGTCGACATAAACAAAATTTTCTTCATCCAAAGTTCAATTAATTAACTACGAGGCCCTTTTGGCACCCCAAGCTCTACTTGTATCTTTTCCTTTTCAATTAACGCGATAACAAGAAGCGTATAAGTATACAACCCTTTTTTTAAATTTTCATGGCAGTAATAAGTGGTACAAGGTTTGATAGACAAAAAAAAAGGTATTGGATGATACTTTACTTTTTTTTTCTCGCATCGAATGTAACGTTTTTTGGGAAAAAAAAAAAACGAAATAAAAAATAGGTACCGCATAGAAAAGTAAAAGAGATCCAAGTAGGTACCTACCTAATAAGTATATTATCTATCCAAAGCAAAGGAAATTAAGAGTGCGCACGCAGACGCAGTTCAAGTGCGTAAAAAGGAAAACGCGGACTCCTGTCCGGCTATTGTTGTACAGACGCGGACCGATCGGTCACCGAGAGTGGCGCATCACTTGGCCGGAGTAGCGCTCACCAGTAGTAACTCGTGTACGGATTGTTTATCGAGTGCTCGCCTATTTTTTTTTCTTCTTTTTTTTCGTATACTACCGCAACTTAATACTTCTTATTACTTACTATATGTATACTACCCTATACTATAATAAAACAGATTCATTGATTTATTATTAAGTATTCATCAGTTTAACAACGCCTCTACAGTCAGTCTCTAGTACAGCTGGAGTAGAGGCCCTCCTTACCCTCCTACTTCAGTTTACACTCAGCGCCATCTCGCGTTGCGAATTTCAAGTTAAAACTAAAACTAAAACCTAAATTCTCCGCCAGACAGCGCTAGTGGAAGGGCTTATATACACTCACCGTACCTTGATTCGCAAACCGCGAAGTTTGAATTCTTGAAGTAATTTATCGTATTAAAACACGAGGAACAACCATAACCATAAAATAAAAATATAATGATAAACAACTATCATATTAACAACTATTGAACAATGTTAAAATCATATTTTATGTTTATTTGTCATAAAAAAATTTAAGACTTCAAACTTCGCGGTTTGCGAATCAAGGTACG